TTCATTTTGAGGTTTTCAAATTCTTCTATGGCTTCAACCCTGCTTTATTTCTGTAACCTTTTCCTGTCTTAAAGCTCTTTGGGTTTACTGCAGTCCCCCAGTTCTGACCTTACATTACTGCACCATTGGTGAATGTGTCTTCACACATCTGGGCTCTTTGCAACCTCCTTCCTAAACCTCTCCACATCTCTATATCTGTTTCTGTAAATAATTCCTTAAAACCTACTACTTTGACCACACTTTTCTGCTGCTTCAGAAATCTGCATGGGGCTCAATGTGAAATTTTGTCTGATTACACACTCCTGCTTTTAGTTGGGTTAAAGGTTTTGTGTAAATGTGAGTCGATACCGTTTTAAGCCAGCACCCAGCCGCAAAATGATGATGTGTTGTTAGTTGCAGAATGTTATTACCAATAAAAGATGCTGAAATGCTGCCTAATATTGTCCATTATTTCTGTTGGAGAGTGAGTGTTGACAATCTACCCCTTTCCCCATGCTGTAATCTGCCATGTGAGTTTGGATAGGCATATGCCAGGGTACCAAGTCCAACATTCCTCTCCTCCCCTGTTGCTGTCACCAAGATTCAGGTGTAATCCTTAATGTGGGTGATCGAACTGAAAACATCCGTCAATTCAGCTACAGTCATTTCGCAGTGGATTGTAAATATTTTAAACTGTGTAACACTAGAGTGCAGTGCTGGACTTGCTAGTTACAAATCAAAGTGTTGAATGAAGCAGCTCACAAGGAGTACTGATTTGAGTCGAATTTTTTGATGGGGGTATTTTGCCAGTATTTGTTCTGTGCTGTGCTGACACTCACAGTGTTCCCAGACGTGGTAGCACTCCCTACTCAATATTCAAGCCCAGTTTCACCCCCACTGAGTTTAGCAGCCGTGCGACTAAAATGTGCAATGGTTCCAACACACTGACTGTTGTTTTCAGTGAATGTCTATCTTTGGCTTTGCACTTCCACCTGATGGTGTGAGCACAGGTGGAGAAACACAGCATGGCTCAAATGTTGGAATGTAAACCAGCATGTTGCACAGCTCAAAGTAAACGAAACTTAGAGCTACTGTGTAAATTATCACTGCCATGTTTTCATTCATTGACAGCCTGGTGGTTAGAGTGACAGGAGATGAGCCAGCAAAGATGTAGCACCTACTTGTGACCTGCTAAATGCAAGAGGGTCTAACCTGAGCCAAATGGCCTCCAAGCCCTGAACACTGTTGCTGCATTTGCCAACTTTCCCTTAAGCCTCGCATTCCATCAGCCTGATTGTATAGCCTCTATCCATCAATTTGAGATTTACCTTCACATAACCTTTCCTGTCTTTAGATCCCTGCCCATTTACTGAACCCATCTCAGTGTCTGTTGACGTCAAAGTACAGACTCCAACGTCAGCGTGCTGCATGTTCACGGCTCGCACACCCCATTAGCCGGATGGGATCAGAGGATATGAATGTCTCACAGAAGCGAGGCTGACTGGAGGTCACTGTGTGGAATCTGATTGAGACATTAAGCATATTGGAAACTTTCTACTCTTACATTCCAAGCACGACAAACATCTGGAACAGTTCAAATCAAACCAATATCTGAATTATTCTCATCCAGTGGCTAAAAATAAACACTGACCTTTCAGGAATATGTGTGTAAAAGGGGTTCACTTATACATCTAATTTTTAAGTAAGTTCTATAATAAAATTCTAAAATCATATGATTAAGCTAATTATGTTTTACTATTTTGCTTTTCAGTATTTGTCAGAAGTATATATTGGCAAGTTACTGCCTGTAGGTCTGACGGTTACATATCATTTCGCAAGAGGCCCCACTTTGAAAATTACCTACAAATTTTTGTGACTTTATTTAGCTTCTTACCATCCTGAAGGCATCGTTGAACGAATTAGCTTCGCAATTACTTTTGGAGAATCTTTAATGTTTCTCAACAACCCTGCAAGGAACTGTCAACTGATCAACTTCTTATTAACCTGCAAGGATCTCGCATTGTCTTAAGTTAATAACAACACTGTAGGAACGAATCAGCTTATGGTATCTCAGTGATCCAGAAAAGATCAATCACTGTATGAGTTTCTGAGTGATTCAGGAAGGATCTGTCACTGTGAGATTCTCAATGATCCTGGAAGAAACTGTGTCTTTATCAGCTTCTTAATAACCCTGTATAGATTGATGTATAAAGTTCTATAACACCTGTTCTAAACCACCTTGAAAGTAGTTCCTTACATTATGTCTCTGTTACTCTTAGCCCTGACAAACCCTGCGTTCCTGCTCTTTGTCGCTCAACACAAGAGTCCAAAGAAACTGAACTAGAAACACACCAGTTTTTAAGGGTCTTCTGAATTTTTCCCAAGTTGCTTTCAGAAATGACATGCAGGTTTTTGTTCAATGCCTGACAACTCCAGGACTTTCCTGTAGGGTTTGGGAACACTTGTGATGAAGAACTCCAGCTTTTGATATGAGAGGAAAACGGCCATTCTCATGTTGCCGTTTCACCCCAGGACTCAGACTGGTGCCCAGACTCAACATCCAGAGCCAAGCATTCATAGAGAAGTGGAGAGGAAACCTTTTTTTTTGTAAGCATTTTGCTATTACAGTGAAGTATTGGCATTCACTGTGGGTCTTGTGGACAGTTTAAATGTCCAATTGAACCCAATTTGAAATGAGGTTAATTAATGAGCTTAACAGCCAAGCTCTGTGAGTCTTTGATCCTCTAGGAATGAGTCATTCCTAATGGTGTGTGGCAGGAGAAAGTTGGCAGGATTTAATTTACTGTTGCTCCCAGTCGCTTCGGTGAATGAGCGAAATTTAACTCTAAACTGTAAGGGTGTAGATATATTTTCTAATCAAACAGCTCAGAGATGTTATGACATCCCTCTGGAGCTGGTGGGCCTTGAACCCATACCTTCTGGCACAGAGGTAGGGACACTACCATTGTGCCACAACTTCCCTCAGGCTGTTGGAATGTAAAGATTACTTAAAGCAGATCCAGCCGTGCCCACCAAACCCAGACATACAGAGAGGATCATTTTGATTTAAATGGGAACCTCATAGAACGTCAACATAAAATAGAAATACAATTGAAGATGAAGCAGTTGAAGATTATTTGGCCTGGGATACAAGCCGAAGGAAACTGATTTTCGTTTCCAATAGCTACAATCATCTTACTTTGTTCTATGTGTGAGGCTAACTGGTGGATCATTTCTTGCCCACTCCTAATTCTCGTTGACTTCAGTTTTGCTTGGGCTCAATGATACTACATTTGCTTAAATGCCGCCGTGGTGTCAAGGGCAGTCACTCCCACCTCATCCCTTTAGGTCAGCTCTTTGCCGGTGTTTTGACAAAGGCTTCAATGAGATCAAGGACTGAGTGGCCTGGGCAGAATCAAATTGGGCATCAGTTTGCAGCTCCTGAGCGCTATTGGCCACACGTTCCATCATTTTCAGCAGGAGTCTGATGGTGCATGAATTATCCCGATGGCATTTAACCTGCTTTCTGTGGACAGACATGCCTGAGCAAATTTCCGTGTTTTTAGATGGATGCCAGTATTATAGCTGTACTGGCATCGTTTGGTTACGATTCCAGCTCATTCTGGAACACAAGTCTTCGGTACTATTGCCAGGATAACTTTTGCTGCATCCAGTACCTTCGGCCATTTCCTGCTATGACATGGAATAAAACAAATTGGCCAAATACTGACATCTTTGATGCTGGAGACCAAAATGAATCATCTACTCGGCATTATTGGCTGAGGATTGTTGCAAATTCTTTAGCTTTTTCTTTTGTACTGACATGCCGGTCTCCATCATCATTCAGGATGTGGATATTTGTGGGCTCCACCTCAGGTTATTTATTTAATTGTCCATCACCAGTCAAGAAGGCATAACAACGCTTCTTCTTCCTCAGGCAGCTCAGGAAATTTGGCATATCCATAAGGACGCTCACCAATTTTTGCACCATTGAAAGCATACTGTCTGGGTGCACAACAGCCTGGTACAGCAACTGCTCTGCCCAGGACCGTAAGAAACTACAGAAGGTGATGTGCACAGCCCAGACCTTCACGGAAGCCAACCTTCCATCCATGGACTCTATTTACACTTCTTATTGCTGCAGAGAGGTTGCCAACATCATCAAAGACCCATCCTACCCCCGTAATGATCTCCTACAACCTCTTCCATCAGGCAGAAGATACAGAAGCTTGAACACATGCATTGACAGATTCAAGAACAGCTTCTTCCCTGCTGTTATTAGAATGATGAACAGACCTCTCTAACTTCAAACAATGTTGATCTTGTTAAAGATGAATCAGAGATAGTAGGAACTGCAGATGCTGGAGAATCCGAGACAACAAGGTGCAGGGCTGGATGAACACAGCAGGCCAAGCAGCATCATAGGAGCAGAGAGGCT